GGGGGGAGGGGGGGCGCAGGGCAGGGCGGCTCCGGCTCCCTTTCCTGCAGCTCCCTGCTGGGCGGGTTTGAACTGGAGCTAAGGAGTTTAACAATCTCTTTATGAGCTTCTGAATCCAGCGTTCATGCCCCGTGGTAGCCAGTGTAACAGGTGGTGCTAATTACTGCGTGACAGCAGTTCTTGGAGTGTGCCTTACAAATGTGTTTCAATGACTATTGTGACCCAACCAGCTTATCACTTTATTGGGAAAAAGATTGTCTTGGTTATAAATATATCTATTTATCATGGAAGAATTGGGGAATGGGGGGGTGCAGAAAAAAATAAAGGAGAAAATAAAAATTATCCATCATCCAGGAATGAGCACTATTAACATAGTGATGCATAATTTTCCAACATTCTTATATATCAGCTGACATGCACATACATTTTACATAATTGAACCCACATTGTGCATTTTATTTAACAGAGAAATAGTCTGTGAATATATACTCTGATGTCATTAGGTCATATTTCAGTCGTTGCTGCCATTAGTGCAGTATGGGCGAAGAGCTGAGGCTCTATCTGCATCTTAGTTGCTGTCACTTCATTTCTGTTTCTAGGACATTTCTCTCCCCCAGGTAGCTTCTTGCATAGGACCCGCCCTCCCTTCTGCAAGGTCTTTAAAGCGTGTCCTCAGGCGGCCATCCCGCCACCTCTTCTGCTTCTGCCTCCTGAGGACCCGTATGTGCAGTCTCCTGGGTCAGGGGTTCTTAAACTTGCGGGCGCATCAGAACCACATGGGAGGCTCAGAAGAGGGTGCTGGGGCCCTGGCTGGTTTGGCTCAGTGGATAGAGCGTTGGCCTGCAGACTGAAGGGTCTCGGGTTCGATTCTGGTCGGGGGCACATGCCCAGGTGGCAGGCTCGGTCCCCAGTAGGGGGTGTGCAGGAGGCAGCTGATCAATGATTCTCTCTCATCATGGATGTTTCTATCTCTCTCTTCCTCTCCCTCCCTCTCTGAAATAAATTAATAAATTAAAAAAAGAGAGGGTGCTGGGCTCCATGCCCCCCCGGGGTTCAGACTCAGTGGGGTCGGCAGGGTGGTGGGCAAGTCCCAGGGCCGTGCCCTGTGTGGTTCACTATGAGACCGCTGGCGGGAGGGGTGGGTGGACAGTTTGGTGACTCCGCGCTCTCCCCAGCAGTCCTTGGCTCCTGGTGCTGGTCCCTTAGGGCACTGGCCAGTCTCCAGTGCCTTGCTTGGCACCTGCCATGTCCCGTGAGGTGTGGCTACAGAGCACAGGCACGTTTTCCTTCTGAAATGCGGGCATCACCGTGTTGGACGAGGCCCGGGCCTCCTGAGCTTGGACGCCAGAGCAATTTGTCCTTCGCTGTCGCCGCGTCACATGCTCCCAAAGAGCTGGCTCCCAAGGAAATGCCCAGATGTCCAGGCTATTTGTTGGAGGAAATGACACATTATCCTCTTCCCAGCATCTGGCAGTTCCTAAAGGAGCGGGCCCTGGTGATAGATACTGTGGCTTCTAGAAGCATGTCTTCTTCCCCGGGAGAGGGGGGTGAAAGGAGGAGGACAGAGTCTATTTTTGGTGTTGGCCCAAGGGGACGCCTGGAGGAGCAGGGGGAGCAGGGTCACCAGCAAGCTGTTCTGCTCTGGGAGCTGAGAACTCGCTTCCTTCCTGCCCGGCCCTGAGCCTCAGTCTCTGTCCGAAGTTTCAGATCTTCCACAGAGAGCTGGAAAGGTATCGACATGCCCTCCTGGGCCGGCATGGCGCGACGCTAGGGCAGATGGGCTGGTGACGGGGAGGAGGGGGTTGGCAGCGCTGGGGGTGTTGATGAGCAGCAGAGGCGAGAAGAGCTCTGCGGGCTCAGTGGCTGCCACCACGGGCAAGGCTGGTTCCCAGGAGGCAGTGGCATCTGGCCGCTCCTGGGCGGGGAGATGCACGGATTTCTTTCCAGCCCCAAGGAAGCAAAATGCAGTGGGAGGGGGTGTCCCTAGCTTTTCCAGAATCATTGATGTCACACAGGTGGGAAGCAGCAAAGCCTTGAACTCAACCTGAGGTTTGAGAAGTGGTGTCTCGGACCAACCCCTCGTCAGCTGCTGGACCAGTGGAGCAACGTGGATTTGGCCGAGAGAAGCACGTCGTAGTCAATGAGCCCAGGCCTGGGGCGTGGGTGGCAGGGGCGGGGAGGGCGCCTCTGCCTCCGGGTCTGAGGGCACTGGCTGTGCCAGGCCTTGGTTTTGCTCCAGCCCGGGCCCTCTGGTGAAAGCATCCTGGGAATTCGGCCTGCAAACAGAAAGGGCATTTCCTTGTGTGGGTTTCCTGTTTAGGTCTGTGGAGAAACCCAAAGGCTCGCTGGGCCTCATAAATCCTCCGCATGACGGATGGCGATGCTCTGGCCGGATGCCCTGGGAAACTGCACGAGAATAGAAGTGGGAGCAGAGCGCATTCCCTCCCGGATCGGGGTGGGCGTCGGCGTCATGGTTTGGGGCCTGTAAACAGAGGGGGCTGGGTGAGAGGAGGCCATCACCAAGGTCCCTCCGCTCTGACTTTCTCAGATCCCACTCCCCCCACCCCCCAAGGGTGCTGGGAGCCTGATCTCTCAGCCCAGCATTGGGGTCTGCCGGGCAGCCCAGCAAACGGTCGCAGGATGAACGTCTCAGGCAAAAACAGGAAGTTGCCCTAGAAAATCTGTTAGGCTCCTTCGCAGGAGGGCACTTTTGAAATCTGGTAATTCCCAGACTTTCCTAAACACTTAGTTTATTCCAGAAAGGACAGACCCCGGGCTGGGCGGCGTTGCGGGAGCCTCGGGCTGCGCTTTGGCACCGAGCAGGTTCCCAGCGCCAGCCCCACGGTGGTGGGTAAGGTGTGTGTCAGGCGACGCCCCCCACGGCAGGGTCCCTTTTCACTTCCTGTCCCTCTCAGTTTCTGGGGGGTCAAATGGACATTCAGACGTGTTGGTTGAACGGAAGGAGCCCTGTTCTCATACTCATTCTGTGGCGGATCCCCCAGGAGTCGAACGGACATCAGGTCAGCTGGGGACACGAAGGAGAAAACAGGATTTCTTGTGTCAACCGTGCTCTGTTCCACTGAGGGCATTCTCATTGTCTGAGACTACACTTCCTGTGTTCTTCTGTTTTCTCCGTTGTCCTTGTTGGCTTGGTTAATTTTATTTTAAGAGCCACAGTGTCTTTATGTTTGCTTTTGTTTTTTAAAAAAATATATATTTTTTTATTGATTTCAAAGAGGAAGGGAGAGGGAGAGAGAGATAGAAACATCCATGATGAGAGAGAATCATGGATCGACTGCTTCCTGGCCTCCTAATGGGGATCGAGCCCACCACTGGGCATGTGCCCTGACCGGGATCGAACCCAGGACCTTTGAGTCTGCAGGCTGCTGCTCTATCCACTGAGACAAACCAGCCAGGGCTTTTTTGTTGCTGTTGTCATCTGGAACTATCCTTTTTAGGGGCAGTACTACAGTGATGTTGAGTAACATGAAGTTCATCTCGCTCGCCTGGCCATGCAGTGTCCTCGGAGGTGAATTGGATTTTCCACTTGAATGTGGGTCAACCGTTCATGCAGCAACATTTCTCAAGACCCGATTGCTCCCTTAGACGCCAGCGTTGCTCCATTCTCAGTTCTCCCAGGTATGAATTGTGATGTTTGTGCATAAATGTCACTCCCTCGAACACGTTCTTGCACATAAATGAACCAGCAAGGGAAACATTGCTTCAATGTCCCATTCTTCTCCACGTTTTGCTTCTGTGGGTCTGAAATAGACTCTCTTCTTTCCTCTCCTGGTCCTGGACTGACTCATCAAGAATGAAGTGTGAACATGAGGCCTATGACGTTCTAAACGCTCCGGGTCAGCGCTCCTGAGAACGCGGTCCTGGGAACGTGTGCACAGGGGGGCTCTGTAGTCAGATGCGTTTGGAAAATGCTGTTCTCTTTGAGAGTCACATTGCACTCTCATATGTTAAAAGCTCTGAAAATGTTATGAAAACCCCCCCAAAAAACATGTCCAACTTTAACTCAACAATTCCCAACCTTATATGATCAAGAAAATCTCTTTTTCTATTATATCTCTAGCAGCTGTTAATAAATGAAGGAGACGACAGTTTTCCGGCCCAGGTCACGGCACCGCTACTGAGTGTTCTGGGTGCCCGAGCGAGCGTGGACGTTGGGACCCCGCTGGCGGCGCCCTCGCTTTCTGGTAGCGGCGGGGAGCTGGTGGCCGTGGCCTTTCGGGCTGGGATGAACCATGCTCTCGGCGGAGGCAGGGGAGCCGAGCCGGAGCCATGGCCAGTACAGTGGTAGCCGTTGGACTGACCATTGCTGCTGCAGGATTTGCAGGCCGTTATGTTTTGCAAGCCATGAAGCATATGGAGCCTCAAGTGAAACAAGTTTTTCAAAGTCTACCAAAATCTGCCTTCGGTGGTGGCTATTACAGAGGTGGGTTTGAACCCAAAATGACAAAACGAGAAGCAGCATTAATACGAGGTGTAAGCCCTACTGCCAATAAAGGAAAAATAAGAGATGCTCACCGACGAATTATGCTTTTAAATCACCCAGACAAGGGAGGATCTCCTTATATAGCAGCCAAAATCAATGAAGCTAAAGATTTACTAGACGGTCAAGCCAAAAAATGAAGTAAATGTATGGTGAATTTTAAGTTGTTAGTCATGTATATGAAAGCAGCTTTTCATAATAAATGTCCTGAAGCTAAATAAATAAATAAATAAAGGGGTGCCCTAACAGGATGGCTAAATGGTTAGAGTGTCGGCCTGCGGACTGAAGGGTCCCGGGTTCGATGCCGGTCAAGGGCAGGTACCTCGGTTGCAGGCTTGATGCCCGGCCCCAGTCAGGGTGCTTGCAGGAGGCAACCAGTTAATGTGTTTCTCTCGCATCGAGGTTTCTCTCCCTCTGTTTCTCCCTTCCATTCTCTCACTAAAAAACAAAAATCAATGGAAAAAATATTCTCAGGTGAGGATTAACCACAAAATAATAATAATAAAAATAAAAGTAAAATGAAGGGGTAAGCATTTTAAGAAATGCTCCTTTTAGAAAAAAAAAAAAAGAGTTCACCATCCTATGTTTAGCATCTAGGGATATAGCTCTATCTATCTATATATTTCTGTATCTATCTATTTTGATCTGGTGTAACAGAAATGTTTCTGTTCTTTTCAGAATGTTAATAAGCAATGGACTAGGATGATCATACTATGAAAACATTTTCATACAAAAGTATTAGACACAAAAAATTACCTCTCATTCTACCAGCCACCAATAGCCAAAATTTCAGTGTGGCTATCGGTGGCTGGTAGAATGGGAGGTAGACTTTTTTCTTTTTTCTATTTTTGTTTCCCCTCATATCTTCCACAATGAACAGGAATTATTTCTACATTTGGGGTGAAAAAACACACAACACAAACTTTATTTTAAAAAAGAATCAACATGTAAGGTTCTTTTCATAAGTTCGTAAGTGAGCGCATCCAACTCCCTGCAAAAAGGCAGATGCATCCTCCCACTTCAGGCCATTTGTCCCATTTGCCGGGGGTTCCATGGCACTTGTCCTCTAAGGTCCTCGCGTCTGTCCTGGGAGTGTGTGAGCTCCTTCAGGTTTAAGAGAAAGGAAAGCAGTTCACACGTGGTGGGAGGGTCAGCCCGTGGGAAGTTAAATGGCCCAATCAGACCTGCCTGGTTGTTCCTGGACCACGTGTCCAACAGGAAAGGTTGGCATACCAGTCGGAATCCTTGGTTGTGAGCAACAAAGATCTCTGCTAGGTGGCTGGAGTGGAAGGTGGGTGTATTGGAAGCTCCCAGTGGGAAGTCTAGAGAGCCAGGTGTTGGAAATGAGCACAAATCAAGGGAGGCAAGGCACGGCCAAATCCTGCCGCAGGGATGGTTTTCTGAGGATGCTGCCACTGGTGCTGTCGCCGCTGGACACTTGTCAGAGGCTGCTGGCCCTGCTGCCCCTGATGCTCATGCTGCTGGGCACTCATTCCACCACAGCCCTGCAAAGGACCCCTGCCTCGTCCCAGACCTTGTTCCCAGAGGGACCTCTGATAGGCTGGGCCAAGGTGATGTGCTAGTTTCCTAGTTGCCGGGACAACGGTAGGACGCCTCTGCCCTCTTTGGCTTCTAAGTAGGACGTGGAGTCCTGCCTTCCTTCTACTCTGGGGTTCCACCCAAATGGAGAGGATGTTTAAAGGCTGCGTAAGAAGTAAGAAGAACGAAGATGCACAACATTTCGGTGTCTGTTAGCGGGCGCGAGGGTCTCAGAGAGGCAGGGGCAAACAGGGGCCGGCACGTTCCGATGTGAGCTCCCCTCTCGGGGCTGCAGAGAGCGTGGTTTTCTTTCCACCTGGGCTCCTGAGATGGGAAAGCTCCCACCAGACTTCTGGATCAGTCGGTAGAATATCTGCTCCTCAGGATAACTGACCTCTCCTAACGGAAACCACACTAAATAATAGAACCAGAATCACCATTTTTCAGAGGAATTAGGAGGCAACTATAGAATTCCCACCTGACTGCCAGGCTAGAGTCTGTTGCTTGCTGTGTCTGTCAGCCCCATGGGTTGTCTGTCGGGCACTGACCCAGAAAATGAAGGAATAACAAAGCATTAGAAAGATTTTCTTCTTCACTCAAGAACTTACAGTTTAGGGAAACCTATTAAATAGATCGGTGTTACCCTAGAGAAAGGCCCTGTGAGTGCAGGGAATGGGAAAGGAGTGGGAAGTGTACACAGGGGTCTTTTATTGACTTCCTTATTCGGGAACGTACCTTCCTGCTTGCAAATGTCCACATGTCGGGGTTGAGTGCAGAGACCAAGAGACGAGGTGCAAGGAGAGAGGCAGGGCTGCCGTGGGTGCTGGCGGATTCTTCGACGCCAGACACAGACCACAGCTGGACTGGGCAGGAGAAGCTGGTGGGGTGGGCCACGCAGAGTGTGGAGCCTTAGGAGTGAAGCTAGAAATTAGTGATTACAAAACGAGAAAAGTCCCTCTGTTTTGGAACTAATATGTTGACCTCAACACATCCATATTAGTTCCATAAGTGGGGTATAATTTGAGAACTTCAAGAAGTTGACTTTATGTAATATCTATGTTATTATAATTTTTATAGTGAGTTGCTTTTCTCTTGCTTCTAAATGGTCAGGACACTTGAACAGCTTCCATGGTTAACTGGATCTTTGGGGGACTGTCAATATTTCCATAGGGAAGGCGTTTCCAAGCTCAGATAATCAGACTCGTCATTCTGACAGGAACCAGGAATATACCTCGGAAGTGCAAACAAGAAAACAAGTTCATGCATTTTTAAAAAAATATGTTTTTATTGATTTTAGAGAGAGGAAGGGAGAGGGATAGAGAAATAAGATCATCTGCCTTCTGCATGCCCCCTACTGGGGATCGAGCCCACAACCAGGGCATGTGCCCTGACTGGGAATCGAACCGGTGACCTCTTGGTTCATGGGTCGATGCTCAACCACTGAGCAAGACCAGCTGGGCACAAGTCCACTCATTTCTTTGGGTAGCATGCATTCTTGCACATTTAACTATTTTAATACTCCTAGGAATGCATCCTAGGAGAGCAGATCTCTAGGAATGTGAGAGCGTGCTACACCTTAGACAGTGTAGCTACGTGCAGATAGTCAGTCACCTGGACTGAATCCCCACCTAGAACTGAATTTCACTGATATACTTAAGATTTACTCCTCGGCATGCAAGAACGTCTAACACAGTGGTTCTCAACCTTGGCTGCACATTAGAATCACCTGGGAATCTTGTTAAAATCCTGGTTTCTGGGCCTCATCCTCCAGAAATTGTTTCTTTGTTACTAATGATGAGGCCCAGAAATCAGGATTTTAACAAGATTCCCAGGTGATTCTAATGTGCAGCCAAGGTTGAGAACCACTGGTCTAATGGGTCATGAAAACTGAAGACATGAATAAGAACTCAAGGGCTCTCTTGACATTGGAGGTCCATCCATTCCTAGGAATGTTGAGATAAGCCTCATGATGCCCATTCTATAACCCCAGCATTTTTCCAGGGGAATTTTGAAGGAAAAGGGTTACAAAAGGGTAGACTGAGGGATTAGAGTGGAGGGGATGTGCTACTTTTCACTGTAGAGGCTGAGTGAGGGAAGAGGTGGTCGGTAGAGTAGATGGGAATTTCTAGTATCCAAGGTAAGGGCCGTGTAATTTCACCTTTGGATATGTCCCTGGGTGACTGGACAATGAACAGTGAGCATAAGATCTCAAGGAAGAGCTTGACATGGCAAAACTGATGTAGACCAGGGAGGCAGGAGGCAGGGCCAGAGCTCCTGCTCTGTGTAACACTTCTACCTCTGGCTTGGGCTCAGGAAATGAGTTTAGACACAGAGCGAACCTCTTATTTCTCAGTTGTGTTAAAAGATGGCGTCTATAACCAGAGCCATTCTAGAGAAGGACTCGCCGGACTGACACAGAAATAGGAGAGCTTTGTGAGCCTTGCGGGTGTCCTGAGTTGCAGGACCAGCTGGAGAAGAGAGTTTAAAAGAAATTGCGGTCATGCAGGAATTTTTAAAAGACGAGGATACCTTCCCTTCCCAACTTAGGCTCTTCTGCTAATTTACGGTGACATCATCGTGTCCTTAAAACATCAAACATGAGCCAAGTGATAGTCAGCAGTGTCTTCGGCAACAGCCACACGTAAAATATAGATGATGATATCACTGCTGACTCGATATAATTACGCCCTTTCATGTAAAGCTTATCTTTCTTGTTCTAGGCATTCAGGGCACGTGACAGACAGTATTTGGTTGTTTTCCCCAAAGCTTTGTCAGGGGCGTTATTACTTTCGTCTAGTGAGTACGTGGACAGCGTCTCTGGGAATTATTTGTCCGAAGCCCCGTTGGCAATAAGAGTAACTGGAAAGAAAGTGACTGGAGTCATAATTTAAAAAACAGAACTTCCTGTTGAGGCAACTTCAGGTCACAATACTGGGATATTTCTAATTTCAGACATTCTTGGAGCACAGGGCATACGGGGTTATGTCCCTTTATTTGTGGGTATATAGGAGGGAGTAGGGTAGCAGATACTTCAGGTAAAACAATTCAACTGGTGGTGCGTTTAAGTGTTCAGCATCTAAAAGGAGCTTCATATATATGTTCTTTCCACGATGGCAGTGGCATCACCAGACATAGCTCCATAAAGGAGGGCCAGAAACAAAATCTGGAACACAAATGTGACTCTATAGCAAGCTTTTGCTGTAGGAGATACTTATATTATAGTGATGAAGATATTTAGAGTTGTGAAGGTCTGAGCTGGAGTACTGGTTGATGAGTGATTTTTGAGCAAGTCTCTTAACACCTCTGGGTCTCTTTCTTTCTCTCTTATTCTCTCCTTTTGTCTGAAAATTGGGCACACTATTTACCTTGACCTATAGCTATGAGGCTAAAAGGAGATCATACATGTGAAGTGCTGTATGCACAGCAAAATGCTATAGAAAAACAAGGTATTATAAAGGCCGAACCACTAAAGTTATAGGCCCTAATACAGGTTATATTTTCTTCCAATGGGATCTATTTGCAGTGGGTCATAGTGCAAGAGCATGCTTTAAATCTGTAAAATATCATCTCCCTGGAAAATTAAGAGAAAAGAAAATGAAGAGAGGAGTGAAGGCCTGAGGCTGC